CTTGACGACATTGGATCCAGACTCGACATTTGGGATTCAGACATTTTGACGAGGGACTATTTGGGCCTGTGCCGAAGACTTGGTGTTGACGACATCCCCATCTTCGCCTCCTCTTCGTCTAACCCCCTTCTTCTTCGTCTGTGTATGGTTGGGGCTGGCGCAGTCTTCCTGTGTGAAGCGCCGGACTCCATTCACACCATGGAACGATGATGATGATGTATGTTTGCAGAGGAGAAGAAATCCTGGGATTTGGGGGTTAGGGGCTGATCACACATTACATCATTTTCAAAAGAACCAAAAAGAAGCGCGGAAGGTGGACGAGGCCTGCACGGAACGTAAAAGACAAAGTGAACCCCATATGCCTGCTTGCACGGTACTTCCACAAATCGAGCGGCACTTTCTTGTGGGCGTCTCTATCCAACGACCTGCAAAGGTTCCTTCTTTTCCATGCAATGTACGGGGTCCTCGTCTTTTCACTTTCGAAAGAACTACCGAACCTCCAATTGCACTCACGCTGGCACTTTCGACAATGTTTTCACACCTTCGGATTAAAAGGGATACCTCCACCTTGCACGGGAAGAAGTGGGATCCGAAAATTTCCCTAAAAGTGCCCCGCCTACGAGAAGTGGGATCAGACTCTTACTCCTAATAAGGATAACTCTTAGTGAAGATGCCCAATATAAATGCATACATAGCTAGGCTACCAGCCGGGTCGCCCAGGGCACCCTATTTTCCCAGACGGTCTGGCCGTGCAAGGACCAGGGAAGGTCCCAGCAAAAAAAAAAAAAAAAAAAAAAAAAAAAAAAAAAAAAAAAAAAAGTATGTTATGCAGCAAAAATAAGTAAACAAAAAAAAAAAAAAAAAAAAAAAAAAAAAAAAAAAAAAAAAAAAAAAAAAAAAAAAAAAAATGGCGACGGCCTTGAGATATCATCATTAAGCTGACCGGCCCAGGTAATTCAGACATAGTTGGTTTTACAACTTTTACTCATCAACTTCCATCATCTGGATTCGAACACGTGTCTGTATTTTCAACACTTCATGGGTGTACCCACCGAGCTCGGCTCTTGGGTAAGTGAACAACTTTTGGCGCAGGGTCACATCGAAATTCCTTACCAGATGGGAAGGCCTCCAGAGAGACCAATGATTAAACGGCTCCCCCCTAAAACACCAATCAGGGTCCTAGGGATTTCGCTTTCCGCGCTAGG